CTACTTGACTAAAGATGGGCTTATTAAAAACGTATTTCTGATTAACATAATTTCAGAATATGACGTATTGCACTAAACCAAATATCTTTGGCCTATATTTCATCTAATGGGACTGTCGAGTCTGGCCTGGTTGCCAGTCTGTTCAGCTATTACATGCCACTCCTTGTACTCCGTGTCATTTGTCACATGACACGGAGTAGGAGTGGATTGTTACAGAGACTACAGTCGTGGTCAAAAGTTTTGAGAATGACACAAGTATTGGTCTTCACAAAGTTTGCTGCTTCAGTGTTTTTAGATATTTTTGTCAGATGTTACTATGGTATACTGAAGTATAATTACAAGCATTCCATAAGTGTCAAAGGCTTTTATTGACAATTACATTAAGTTTATGCAAAGAGTCAGTATTTGCAGTGTTGACCCTTCTTTTTCAAGACCTCTGCAATCCGCCCTGGCATGCTGTCAATTAACTTCTGGGCCACATCCTGACTGATGGCAGCCCATTCTTGCATAATCAATGCTTGGAGTTTGTCAGAATTTGTGGGTTTTTGTTTGTCCACCCACCTCTTGAGGATTGACCACAAGTTCTCAATGGGATTAAGGTCTGGGGAGTTTCCTGGCCATGGACGCAAAATGTCGATGTTTTGTTCCTCGAGCCACTTAGTTATCACTTTTGCCTTATGGCAAGGTGCTCCATTATGCTGGAAAAGGCATTGTTCATCACCAAACTGTTCTTGGATGGTTGGGAGAAGTTGCTCTCGGACGATGTGTTGGTACCATTCTTTATTCATGGCTGTGTTCTTAGGCAAAATTGTGAGTGAGCCCACTCCCTAGGCTGAGAAGCAACCCCACACATGAATGGTCTCAGGATGCTTTACTGTTGGCATGACACAGGACTGATGGTAGCGCTCACCTTGTCTTCTCCAGACAAGCTTTTTTCCGGATGCCCCAAACAATCGGAAAAGGGATTCATCAGAGAAAATGACTTTACCCCAGTCCTCAGCAGTCCAATCCCTGTACCTTTTGCAGAATATCAGTCTGTCCCTGATGTTTTTCCTGGAGAGAAGTGGCTTCCTCGCTGCCCTTCTTGACACCAGGCCATCCTCCAAAAGTCTTCGCCTCACTGTGCGTGCAGATGCACTCACACCTGCCTGCTGCCATTCCTGAGCAAGCTCTGCACTGGTGGTGCCCCGATCCAACAGCTGAATCAACTTTAGCAGACGGTCCTGGCGCTTGCTGGACTTTCTTGGGCGCCCTGAAGCCTTCTTCACAACAATTGAACCTCTCTCCTTGAAGTTCTTGATGATCCGATAAATGGTTGATTTAGGTGCAATCTTACTAGCAGCAATATCCTTGCCTGTGAAGCCCTTTTTGTGCAACACAATGATGACGGCACATGTTTCCTTGCAGGTAACCATGGTTAACAGAGGAACAACAATGATTTCAAGCACCACCCTCCTTTTAAAGCTTCCAGTCTGTTATTCTAACTCAATCAGCATGACAGAGTGATCTCCAGCCTTGTCCTTGTCAACACTCTCACCTGTGTTAACGAGAGAATCACTGACATGATGTCAGCTGGTCCTTTTGTGGCAGGGCTGAAATGCAGTGGAAATGTTTTTTGGGGATTAAGTTCATTTTCATGGCAAAGAGGGACTTTGCAATGAATTGCAATTCATCTGGTCACTCTTCATAACATTCTGGAGTATATGCAAATTGCCATCATAAAAACTGAGGCAGCAGACTATGTGAAAATTTATATTTGTGTCATTCTCAAAACTTTTGACCACGACTGTATGTCGAGTCTATGCTCAAACCAATGATATACAACTCATTATTCAATAGCATTTTAATTACATATCGGATATTTGGTTTATCATCAGACCATTTGTTCACATAGGGCCACAGAAGCACAGAGCCATTATTCGGAAAATCACAACCACTTTGTGAGAATGCTGATGTGTATTCAATGCCTGCATGATATTTCAAGTTCACACAGAAAGACAGACTGCCTTCACTTAACCCTGAAGGGGAAATATTACTGAAGACAATTCATATTGAATAAACATCAACATCAGCCCAAGGTAAATTATGAATGGTAGACAGCATTACAAGTTAAATACAGTATGTTGAGAACATAACATGTACAGAGACACTGATCTTAAACACACACTCAAACCTTCCACATACTTACAAATTGTGCCGAAACAGTTGATGTATTTATGTCTAATTCTGCCATCATCATTTGTTCCAGATGTCATTGTTAAAAACAAAAGAAAAAAAAACAATTGTCCAAATGTTAAGGACATTGTTTGAATATAATTTTCTTTACATCACATGAAATAAAAAAAAAGTTTGTCCTTTCATAGAAAATTAATATCAGAGCTTTAAAAAGTACAATGAGATACCAAGATGAAATGAGAGGATATAGCTTCTCAAAGATAATGAACTGGACCACAGGACGATACAGTTGTGTGGGCTTGCTATCTGTAAGGTGGATGTATTGGCCTATGGTTACAGTAGCATACATATTTAAGATTAGTAGTAACTAGTTAAGGCATACTAAGCAAACCATGGACATTCTTAAACCAGTTCAAAACTCCTCTGCTTCTATGCTTGGATTGATTCTTTCCTCTGCATTACAAAGAAGTCATATGACAAGAGTATACAGTGGCTTGCGAAAGTATTCACCCCCCTTGGCATATTTCCTATTTTGTTGCCTTACAACCTGGAATTAAAATGGATTTTTGGGGGGTTTGTATCATTTGATTTACACAACATGCCCACCACTTTCAAGATGCAAAATATTTTTTTGTGTGAAACAAACAAGAAATAAGACGACAAAAAAACAGAACTTGAGCGTGCATAACAACCCCCCCCCCCCATTCTTCAAGGCAAAACTGCTCCAGCTCCTTCAAGATGGATGGGTTCCGCTGGTGTACAGCAATCTTTAAGTCATACCACAGATTCTCAATTGGATTGAGGTCTGGGCTTTGACTAGGCCATTCCAAGACATTTAAATGTTTCCCCTTAAACCACTCGAGTGTTGCTTTAGCAGTATGCCTATGGTCATTGTACTGCTGGAAGGTGAACCGCCGTCCCAGTCTCAAATCTCTGGAAGACTGAAACAGGTTTCCCTCAAGAATTTCCCTGTATTTAGTGCCATTCATCATTCCTTCAATTCTGACCAGTTTCCCAGTCCCTGCCGATGAAAAACATCCCCACAGCATGATGCTGCCACCACCATGCTTCACTGCGGGGATGGTGTTCTCGGGGTGATGAGAGGTGTTGGGTTCACGCCAGACATAGCGTTTTCCTTGATGGCCAAAAATATCAATTTTAGTCTCATCTGACCAGAGTACCTTCTTCCATCTTTGGGGAGTCTCCCACATGCCTTTTGGCGAACACCAAACGTGTTTGCTTATTTTTTTCTTTAAACAATGGCTTTTTCTAGCCACTCTTCCGTAAAGCCCAGCTCTGTGTAGTGTACGGCTTAAAGTGGTCCTATGGACAGATACTCCAATCTCCGCTGTGGAGCTTTGCAGCTCCTTCAGGGTTATCTTTGGTGTCTTTGTTGCCTCTCTGATTAATGCCCTCCTTGCCTGATCTGTGAGTTTTGGTGGGCGGCCCTCTCTTGGCAGGTTTGTTGTGGTGCCATATTCTTTCAATTTTTTAAATAATGGATTTAATTGTGCTCCGTGGGCTGTTCAAAGTTTCGGATATTTTTTTATAACCCAACCCTGATCTGTACTTCTCCACAACTTTGTCCCTGACCTGTTTGGAGAGCTCCTTGGTCTTCATGGTGCCGCTTGCTTGATGGTGCCCCTTGCTTAGTGGTGTTGCAGACTCTGGGGCCTTTCAGAACAGGTGTATATATACTGAGATCATGTGACAGATCATGTAACGCTTAGATTGCACACAGGTGGACTTTATTTAACTAATTATGGTAATTGGTTGCACCAGATCTTATTAAGGGGGTGAATACATATGCACGCACCACTTTTCAGTTATTTATTTTTTAGAATTGTTTGAAACAAGTTATTTTTTTCATTCCACTTCCCAATTTGGACTATTTTGTGTATGTCCATTACATGAAACCCAAATAAAAATCCATTTAAATTACAGGTTGGAAAAATAGGAAAAACGCCAAGGGGGATGAATACTTTTGCAAGGCAGTAGAGACCCTTGTTCAATCTTATGCAGTACCCTCAACAGCTATACAAACTACATTTATTCCTGTGCATGCTTGGTTTTTGTCTTGTTTCACACATGAACATTATTTAATTGATTAAATGAACCCAAACATGTATTCTTATAGCACATAGTTATCATGCTGATGGGTTTCTTCCCCCCTATACACCTTGACTTTCAGATAAGGGTTGCACATTTCCTGTAACTTTTGCAAAATTCCCAGGTTTTCCAGAAATTCCTTTTGGAAGATTCCAGGAATCAGGAGGAAATTAATCTTGAAACACAGAACGAATGCTGGCCTCGGGTTATGGATGGGGGAAGTGACTAGGCGGGAATAAGCAGAAAATCCAGATTCCTCCAACCAGAATTTCTGGAAAACCTGGGGATTTTGGGACAGTTACCGGAATTGTGCAACCTCGCCTCAGATACACCTTTACCTCCAGATTGACTGAACTGTGGACAGTGTTACTACAGTACTACTGCAGTAATACTACTACAGTAATACTACTACTCTTACTACAGTATCACTACAATAGGTCATCAGCAGTAGTCTTGAAACAGACAACTGTTCCATCTGATTTTTTTTTTAATAATCCTGTTTTCAGTTTATATTTGTATCGCATACCTGACTTATTCAATTCCAGCGTCTTCTTCTCACCAACATTTCACACAAATAATTTAGCAATTGTACATCAGCCTACCTACATACAATGTCCATCTTAGTTATTATTATATTTATCACATTATTATAATGTCATTATACCGTTCATTATGAAGATTAGTGCGCTTAACAGTTTCAAAACCTAGTAACATATCTATAGGCTATTAGTCAACTAGTATGCAAATATAAAATATGTATTGTAAATAAATAATTCACATATAGATAGATTTCTTTATAGAAGAATACAAATTGTGTGTTAATTAAGGCTCTAAAGGAGAGAGAGGAGGACATGGGTGTGCCCCAAATGGCACCCCATTCCCTTTGTAGTGCACTATATCGGGAATAGGGTGCCATTTGGGATACAGTCCTAGCCTTTACCCTCTAGGCACTTGGGTAGATCTGAAAGAATAGGATATGTTTAATCAATATGGTAGTACCTCAGCCTTTCCCTATGACAGACTTGGCAGGTAGAAGTTTTGCCTCACACCTATCCAGTCCTCTCATTTCTACACCAGTGCTCTGTGGGTAGAGGTTAGGGCAAGTGTCATGGGGCTAGGGGTTGACTGTGTCCCAAATCGCACCCTATTCTCTATATCTTTCTCTGGTCAAAAGTAGTGACTATTTAGGGTATAGGCTGCCATTTGGGACGTAAAACTTGTTCCTGGATGGGGCCTATTTGTCCCGTTTCTCCACTTGTTTCTGGTTAGTGTTAGGGTCCTGTAGCTGGTAGTCATCCAGGATGGCCACGGCCGTCTGTTTGCCAGTCTTCTTCACCGCAGCTTTGATGCCCAGGTTGTCAATGTTGAAGGCGGTGACGCCCATGTTAATGGCGGAGTTCACAGCATGGTCTGTGGCCTGGCCGGCTGCCGCCCCATACCTTATAATCAATCACACACAACCAACTGGTGAGAGGGGGAGGGCTGGGAGGTGGAGGGTTGGGGGCAGGAGGATGGAGGGCAATAATAGGGAACAGCAAGGACAGCAACAACATGCAACTAGGATTAAAGCCACCACCCATGCAGAGCATGAATTCAACAGAATTCTGTTGTTATCTGACTATTCAGTAATCTGTAAATATACAACTAAATTATATTGTGGGGCTGGTGATTGCACTTATTTCTACATATAATACACATCAATTCAATAAGTGCATCAATTCATACTATGATTATGTATTAGGAATAGTTATATTATTTTCAATGAAGTCAGGAAAAAGAGTTGGTTAGTTAGAAACCAGAGAAATCAGTGTAAGCTACATGTTGAATTACGGGTGTATAGCCGAGTAGGATAGAAGAGTAGCTCATGTTAGAGAGTAGAGGTGAATCCAGCAGCTTTACATTCAGACCACCCAGAAACAGAGGCTAAGCCTTGGCCATGCTGCTCATTATTATAAAGGAGGGTTCATTAAAGTCTGGCTTTAAGAGAAAATACATGTCTTCTTGTCATTAGGAGGGTCTAAGATGTTTTGTAGACCCCTAAATCTGAAAAATAAGTGGAAGAGGGAAATGTACAGTAAGTGCTTGCTTGTTTTTGCTTATAAAACACAAGTGAGTGTTTGCAAGATACACTGCAAAAATCTGGTTTAGCAAAACCTGGTCTAGAAAGCAAAAGAACAGACATACACATCAGAGCTAGGTGGACAGGAGCAAATGTAAACAGACAAGCAAGTAGTACTGCCATTCACACATGGTGAATGAGCCGAGCACAGAACACATTCGGCAGGTAGCCTAGTGGTTAGAGCGTTGGGCCAGTAACCGAACGGTCGCTAGTTCGAATACCCGACAAGGTGAAAAATCTGTTGACATGTCCTTGAGCAAGGCACTTAACCCTAATTTACTCCAGGGGTGCCGTACTACTATGGCTGACCCTGTAAAACAACACACTGCACCTATCCGGTGTATGTGACAATACAACATTTATTTTGACATGGCTGCGTCTCAAATGGCACCCTATTCCCTATATAGTGCACTACCTTTGACCAGGACCCATAGGCTCATCGGATGCCATTTGAGACGCAGCCATGTTGAATGAGAAGAGCACAGACAACACATGTTGGTTGAAGTGTACAGAGAAAGACCTACTTATGCTTGACAGTGTTGACGGTTTCTGAGGCAACAGAGACGGTGATGTTCTTTGCTGCTACTTCCAAGCCGGTCCACATGGTAGCGAAGCCTTCAGGTAGAAACACACAGGAACCACAACAACAACTAGACACTTGGTAGAATAGGGGGTACATAATCCACGTGAACCATCCTTAAGGACAAGACAGACCAATACGAATGGTGGCCATGCGTAGTGGGTGGCCGTCCTATTGCCTCTGACCACCGAACATCGGCAGTCATTATCTATTAATTTCCTGTCGATTCTACATTCTACGTTGAATCTCCACCGTTTGTTGACACCCAGCAGGTGATCTACTGCTCACGGCCAACGTTTGTGTTGTTCTGTCTTGTCCTATACAATGACTAGCCTAGTGACTATAACAACCACAACAGTGACAACGCAGGAGTGGCTTCGGGACAAGTCTCTGAATGACCTTGAGTGGCCCAGCCAGACCCTGGGCTTGAACCCGATCGGACATCTCTGGAGAGACCTGAAAATAACTGTGCAGCAACGCTCCCCATTCAACCTGACAGAGCTTGAGAGGATCCGCAGAGGAGAATGGAAGAAATTCCTAAAATACAGGTGTGCCAAGCTTGTAGCGTCATACCCAAGAAGACGCAAGGCTGTAATCGCTGCCAAAGGTGCTTCAACAAAGTACTGAGTAAATGGTCTCAATATTTATGTAAATGTGATATTTCCGTTTTTTGTGTGTTTTTTTGCTAAAATTGATAAAAAACCTGTTTTTGCTTTGTCATTATGGGGTATTGTGTGTAAATTGATGAGAATTTTTTAAAAAGAATCAATTTTAGAATAAGGCTGTAATGTAACAAAATGTTGAAAAAGTCAAGGGGTCTGAATACTTTCCGAATGCATTGTACACCTGAAATCTGCAAAAACGCATCAGGCAGAGAGATACGTTCATTATTCTATTACTATTATTCTATTACTATTCCTTGAACCATACGGCCAACGTTTGTTGTTCTGTCTTGTCCTATACAATGAATAGCCTAGTGACTATAACAACCACAACAGTGACTATGTGTACCTTGAACTCCGCTGGCAGCCACCACCATGGCTCCATCGATGTTGGATCGTCCATCTTTGTCTTTCTTCATGGACTCCGGGACCAACTTGCCTCCATGTTTCTTCACATGGGGAGCCAGCTCTCTCCCCACACATCCTGCCACCATACACACACCGTCCACTACAAACACAACACACACCCGATCATAACATAATCCACACCCCGTCATAACACAACACACCGTCCACTACAAACAACACACACCTGATCATAACACAATACACACCCCGTCATAACACAACACACACACACCACCATACACTACTAACACTACACACAATGCACCCATCCACAACCAATCAGGCAGTCAGCTCCTTCCAACACCAGAACCAATCAGACAGTCAGCTCCTTCCAACACCAGAACCAATCAGACAGTCAGCTCCTTCCAACACCAGAACCAATCAGACAGTCAGCTCCTTCCAACACCAGAACAAAATCAGAGTCAGACACTCAGCTGCTTCTCACCCAGGAACTGGCTGACACGGACAGCGCCCCCGGTGGCCTGTTTGGCTACATGCAATCCCTTGGAGACAGAGGGGCTGACATGGGCTGGCTTGTCCTCGGGGGTGATGTGCTCCCGCAGTTTGGACGCCCCCTTGTGGATGGCTATGCCAGTGAACTCAGCTCCCTTCACCAGGCCCCAGCTCAGCCACGATGCCCCTGGATCGAAAAAACACAGTATATGTCAGTAAGTGATACACAGCATACAACCTTAACCCTAACCCCTACAGCCTCGGGTTAGGATGCCATTGGTTAGGGTTAGCGTTGTAGGGGTTAGGGCCCTGGGTCTGACCTGTGAGGATGCCGCTGGCCACCTTCTCGCTCCACTCTGGCAGGTTCTTCTCCTCCTCCTCCTCTCCTGCTGCTGGGGCCTCCTCTTCCTCGGGGGGAGCGATGGACACCTTCTGGCTCAGGTTGATGCTGTCTGCTGCCTCATCTGGAGCCTGGAGCAGTAGGACTTGTATTAATATGGTGTTTTGCAACCTGCTGGTGCATATGTACAGCATTGGCAGAATAACATTAAAGTTTGATTAACTATGCCTCGTTGTCATGGTCCTCTCTGTTTTCTGTAACTTACAACTATTACAGGACTAGTTAGCCTAGCTGGAGCCTAGCAGTCCCTGCCTCATAGTAACCTCCTGATAACCTCCTGGTAACCTTAAGTGCCTTACCCTAACTCTCATAGTAACCTCCTAGTAGTAGCCTCCTGCTACCGCTACCCTCTCCTCCCTCTATCCCCATCCTGATCACAATGATTAATTCTTCTCTAAACAAAGACATAGTCACCAGACACGTTTCAGATGTCCCCTTGCTTGAGGAAAACAGACAGAGGGGCATTGTTCTAATACCATCATTGCTATTCTCAACAAGACACAACCTCCTAAATGTACATATATGCTCATGAAAAGCCTACTTGCTTATTGGATTCCATCCCAGAAGCAGCTGTCCATGTGACAGGTAGTTTGTCAACAACAACATGCCATCAGTTAGAATCCTATTTCTCGGTGACAGAACCACCGTCTGACTCCATTACTGTAGTGACTACTGAGGCTGTGTTGTGTTCTAGCCAGATAAGAGCATTAGCTCTTGCCCATTGTTCTAAATTCCCTAACTGCGGAGGCTAGGTGTATTCAGGGAGCAAGCAGTGCAGTAGAGCCTTCAGTGTTCTGGAATAACATCAGAAACATGGACCAATCAGACGGAGTCAGAGAGGCTAGAGAGCAGAATAGCTCATGGTAATCTACTACTGTACTAAATCTAGGCCAAATGGCACACTATTCCATATGTTGTGCACTATTTTGACCAGGCTCTGGTCAAAGGTAGGGCACTATGAAGGAAATAGGGTTCCATTTTGGGCCAAATCCCTAATTTGAACCTTACATTCCACTGGGATCATTGACAGGGATATAAGAAAACAAAGAACAATGCTTGGAAATGACTTCAAACTGTCACTGTTTCTGAACTGCTGATTAAGAATGGATGTAGGCAACCCTGTCATTCTTTTTATCCAGGGTCCATAACCTTCTGCACAAGGACACTTGTCATAGTGTGGTATTGCTTTGGTACCTTTAACACATCTTTCAATGACACAAATACAGTGCATTTGGAAAATATTCAGACCTCTTGACCTTTTCCACATTTTGTTACGTTACAGTCTTTATTTACATAAGTATTCAGACCCTTTACTATGAGACTCAAAATTGAGCTCAGTTGCATCCTGTTTCCATTGATCATCCTTGAGATGTTTCTATAACTTGATTGGAGTCCACCTGTGGTAAATTCAATTGATTGGACATGATTTGGAAAGGAACACACCTGTCTATATACATTCTCTGGTCTGATGAAACCAAGATTGAACTCGTTGGCCTGAATGCCAAGTGTCACGTCTGGAGGAAACCTGGCACCATCCCTACGGTGAAGCATGGTAGTGGCAGTATCATGCTGTGGGGATGTTTTTCAGCGGCAGGGACTGGGAGACTAGTCAGGATCGAGGGAAAGATGAACGGAGCAAAGTACAGAGAGAACCTTGATGAAAACCTGCTCCAGAGCGCGCAGGACCTCAGACTGGGGGAAAGGTTCACCTTCCAACAGGACAACAACTCTAAGCACACAGCCAAGACAACGCAGGAGTGGCTTCGGGACAAGTCTCTGAATGTCCTTGAGTGGCCCAGCCAGACCGCGGGCTTGAACCCGAACGGACATCTCTGGAGAGACCTGAAAATTACAGTGCAGCAACGCTCCCCATTCAACCTGACAGAGCTTGAGAGGATCCGCAGAGAAGAATGGAAGAAATTCCTCAAATACAGGTGTGCCAAGCTTGTAGCGTCATACCCAAGAAGACGCAAGGCTGTAATCACTGCCAAAGGTGCTTCAACAAAGTACTGAGTAAATTATTTTAATTTTTTTTGATAAAATTGAAAAAAAACTGTTTTTGCTATGTCATTATGGGGTTTTGTGTGTAGATTGATGAGGGAATTTTTTTTAAAAAAATAAAATTAGAATAAGGCTGTAATGTAACAAAATGTGGAAAAAGTCAAGGGGTCTGAATACTTTTCGAATGCATTGTACACCTGAAATCTGCAAAAACGCATCAGGCAGAGAGATACGTTAATTATTCTATTACTATTATTATATTACTATTCCTTGGACCATACGGCCAACCAGCCGACCACCAGACACCTTCATATGGGCCAGTCAGAGAGCAGCACCCTATGGGCCCTGGTCAAATGTAGTGCATTTGAGACGCACCCTCAGCAGCTCACCTGCACCCTAAGGTCTGTCATCTGGGACAGCAGGTCCTGGAACAGTTGTCTGTCTTCTGCAGGCAGTTCAGAGGACAGCACAACGCCCACGTAGGACCCCGGGGCGGAAGCCATCATGTCCGGGAACATGAACACCCCTGTGTTACACAGCAGGACGGGGGAATCAGTGGCCATCAGCGGGTACAGCCAATCACAAACCTGGAATACATGAACAGTATAATCCATCACACACCTGGAACACATCAACAGTACAGCCAATCACACAGGACAGTATAGGGAGTTTATATGGAACGACTGTGAAATTCCACAATGACGAGTCGACCCCAACACTATGATACAGTACTGTTAACCCACTGTGAAGACAAACACATTAAGTGGGCTGTTACTATCTCTGACACTCCCACATAGCCATACAGCTGTTGATTACATACAGGCCTTGGTGAAACATTTATAAGAGTTGTATTATTTCCATCTCCTTATCTTATCACCAGTCTCAGTACATGTTTACACACATGGGGACAGTATTACTAAGGAGGGGACAACCTTGTCCACTGTGCTACTCACTGCAGACAAACAGAGGGGGCTATGTGTTATCAATCTCCAGCTCTGTTCAAAGACTAGTGGTGCTGGTGTAATATTATGTTCATGTGGCAGGCAGCAGACAGACAGCAGCGTAGAGCCAGAGGTTATCTTGTCATGACACCACGGGAACAAGGAAACCAAAGAGGGAAACCATCCGTCTATAATCTGTATCAACTAGGCCTACATTACTACATTCATCAAAACACAGGGAAGATTCAACACCCTGTCTGTCTCTCTGCTGTAACTAGTTGTGACACAGATCTCTGAACCTGACATGATGGCCACTGGGGTTTTCCCACCATGACATCATAGAGAACTCCTGCCTGGGATTAGGGCCACAGTCACTGATCACATGATGCAGGACACAGATCATTAGCTGGCTGCTGTGCTACTGCTAGCCTATCCCACATACACACGAGCCCAACCCTATTCTAAACACCAACCCCCCCCCCCCACACACACACACACACACACACACACACACAGCCTTCTCTGTATGACAGGAGGGAGTTTATGAGTAGAGGCAGAGCAAACCATTGATAATGAAATCGTGTTAGAGTGCACAACAGATACAGAGAGGTCAAGAAAACAGATTCCAAGAACCCTGTGATTTCATCATAAACTGAAATGCTGAATACAATAAGTGTTTACACTATTATAAGGGCACTGTAAATGGCAACACACACAGTAGACTGTGACTAGAATTCATCACCCCATTCCCCCCACATCCCTCTTACCTGCAGGAAGGCTGGGGGGCGGTTGGGGACTCTCTCTGACTGCTGGCTGGTGAACTTGACCATCCGCAGGTACCCTGGGTAGGAGGGAGCGCTGACCTGGCCGTCAGGTGTGACAAAGAATATCTGCACCCCATGAGACAGGAAGAAGAGTTCCTCTCCATCCTCCCCCAGGCTCTGAGGAGAGGGGGGAGAGGGGGACATGTGGTTGTAAAACTCCTCTCCCACCAGTGACATCTCTCCAGACTCTGTCCCGTAGGAGATAGTCAGGTGGCCGTCAGCCGCCTGGGAGGAGTAGGCTGGGGGCCGCTCGCCAGGCACCGCAGGCTGTCTAGTGGGAGAAAGAGGCAGGGAGGAAGACACACTGCCTCCCACAGCTCCAGCCTGGCAGTTAGTCATCAGCAGCATGGGTGGAGATGGCCGCTCTGGTTTCTCCTTCTCCAGTTTGGGGTAGAGGTTAGAGTTAGAGGCTGTCCCAGGGACTCCATTAGAGGCATCTAGAGGTGGTGGGAGCTCAGGGTCTGGGCTGGTCTCTAGGACTGCCAATCGAGTGGTGATGTTGTTCAGAGTCTCCTGCATCTTGTGCTGCATCTGGCGGGCTGACTCCCAGGAGCTGCCCACACACTCGTGCCCTTGTGAGGGCACGCTGATGGCCCTGAGGAGGTGCTGGCGCCCCTGTCTGTACTCGGCCAGGGCCTGGGCCTTGTGGCCAGATTCATCCTCTGTCAGGCCCCTGTTAATGCACTCAAAGGCCTTCTCATAGCCGTCTTTGATCACCTGCAGCCTGGCTCTGTCAAAGGCATCTTGATTGGCTTCCTCCATGCCTGCCAAGAAGACGAGAAAATACATCCATCTGATGAGATATTATCTCTTCAAGGATCTGTTCATACCACAAGTAGCAACCTAGCTGGCAAAGGTTCAATGATAATAATTAATTATCAATAGCTAGCTAAATAGGAAAAAATCAAGGAAGCAATAGTTGAGAATCTCATTTACAGTTAACTATTTAGCTAGTTAGCATAGCTCGTTACAATAATTTTGCATAAGGAGGCTGGCAGGCAAAGGCAAACATTACCATTACTGTAACTACCTAGCTAGATTTGTAACGACAAACAAGTACTGTATCTCATGAGTTATCAGGCAATAACATCTAGCTCCTCTGCTCGTATAGCAAGCAAGCCAATTAGTTAGCTAGCAGTGTGTACTTTACTCTTCCGGTGTCGCTAGCTAGCTAGCTATCATGAAAATAAACAGAAACTTGAGACATTTTGTCAATCAAAAGCCATCTAATCTGATACATTACCCGCTAACGTTAGACGACAAGCTCCTGTCAAGTGAATGAGGCAATCAACGTCTGACGTCTGTCTTTTTAGCTGTCTGAGCTAGATTTCAGGCTTTGCTGGCAAGAGAAGGCTGTCAGCTGTCATGCGCCTCCAACAACCATGTTTGGATAATCAACAAAAGAAAACGTAGCAAGAAGAGATCCCCGACCCCAAAGAGTTGAACTGGTGGAACTCTGGAACAGTTTGTAATCTTCTCTGTTTACACATCTTTTCTACGGCACCCTACGAGAGACAAACAGTTCAAAGTCATAAAGTAAGTCACGATAAGACTGATGAGAGCCAGATGAGAGCGATGTTGCTCTTTCCTAACCCTTGCCTGACAAGGGCTACAGAGTTTTCCCCTTTGCCCCAGCCAGACAAAGTGAAAGCAAAGACAGAATCTGATAGGGGCATGGCTGCGGGAAGTAGGGGTGCCCCCAGAAGAAAAAATATATATACACAGTACCAGTCAAAAGTTTGGACCTACTCATTCAAGGGTTTTTCTTTATTTTTACTATTTTCTACATTGTAGAATAATAGTGAAGACATCAAAACTATGAAATAACACATATGGAATCATGTAGTAACCAAAAAAATAGATCTTATATTTGAGATTATTCAAGGTAGCCACCCTTTGCCTTGATGACAGCTTTGCACAGCTTGGAATTCTCTCAACCAGCTTCATGAGGTAGTCACCTGGAATGCTTTTCCAACAGACTTAAAGGAGTTCCCACATATGCTGAGCACTTGTTGGCTGCTTTTCCTTCACTCTGCGGTCCAACTCATCCCAAACAATCTCAATTGGGTTGAGGTCAGGTGATTGTGGAGGCCAGGTCATCTGACGCAGCACTCCATCACTCTCCTTCTTGGTCAAATAGCCCTTCCACAGCCTGGAGGTGTGTTTTGGGTCATTGTTCTGTTGAAAAACAAATGATAGTCCCACTAAGCGCAAACCAGATAATATAATAATATATATAATATGCCATTTAGCAGACGCTTTTATCCAAAGCGACTTACAGTCATGTGTGCATACATTTTTACGTATGGGTGGTCCCGGGGATCGAACCCACTACCCTGGCGTTACAAGCGCCATGCTCTACCAATTGAGCTACAGAGGACCACGGGATGGAGTATTGCTGCAGAATGCTGTGGTAGCCATGCTGGTTAAGTGTGCCTTGAATTCTAAATAAATCACAGACAGTGTCACCAGCAAAGCACCCCCACACCATCATACCTCCTCCTCCATGCTTCACGGTGGGAACCACACATGCAGAGATCACCCGTTCACCTACTCTGCGTCTCACAAAGATACGGCAGTTGGAACCAAAAATCTCAAATTTGGACACATCAGACCAAAGGACAGATTTCCACCGGTCTAAGGTCCATTGCTTGTGTTTCTTGGCCCAAGCAAGTCTTCTCCTTATTGGTGTCCTTTAGCAGTGGTTTCTTTGCAGCAATTCGACCATGCAGGCCTGATTCAATCAGTTTCCTCTGAACAGTTGATGTAGAGATGTGTCTGTTACTTGAACTCTGTGAAGCATTTATTTGGGCTGCAATCTGAGGTGCAGTTAATTGCCGATTTCTGAGGCTGGTAACTTAATGAACCTATCCTCTGCAGCAGAGGTAACTCTGGGTCTTCCTTTCCTGTGGCGGTCCTCATGAGAGCCAGTTTCATCATAGCGCTTGATGGTTTTTGCGACTGCACTTGAAGAAACTTTAAAAGTTCTTGACATTTTCCGGATTGACTGACTTTCATGTCTTAAAGTAATGATGTACTGTCGTTTGTCTTTGCTTATTTGAGCTGTTCTTGTCATAATATGGACTTGGTCTTTTACCAAATAGGGCTATCTTCTGTAAACAACCCCTGCCTTGTCACAACAAAACTGATTGGCTCAAACACATTAAGAAGGAAATAAATTCCACAAATTAACTTTTAACAAGGCACATCTGTTAATTTAAATGCATTCCAGGTGACTACCTCATGAAGCTGGTTGAGTGAATGCCAAGAGTGCTCAAAGCTGTCATCAAGGAAAAGGGTGGCTACTTTGAAGAATCTCAAATATAAAATATATTTTGATTTGTTTAACACTTTTTTGGTTACTACATGATTCCATATGTGTTATTTCATAGTTTTGATGTCTTCACTATTATTCTACAATGTAGAAAATTGTTAAAATAAAGAAAAACCCTTGAATGAGTAGGTGTGTCCAAACTTTTGATGGGTACTGTATATATAAAAAAATATATATTTTAGGGGGGTATTTTGCTCCCCTCTCTGCTGAGGAGTATTTTTCTCCGCTCATACAGGAGTAAAAAAGGCCTAGTGCACTAATTTGGTGCACAAAAAAAAGTATTATACATTTTACATTAAAACATTTATTATTCTTTAATTGGGATTTATCAGGGGGTGCTGCAGGACCCTCAGCACCCCTCCTTCCCGCGGCTATGCATGAATTATTGAGTCATTGTTAGTTTTATACTTAAGACAAGATTGTTGTTAGCTTTACACACAAGACATGACTCTGCAGTTGTGCTGTATAATGTTTGAATTTTGTCTCTTGTATAATAAATTATATATATTAGTTTATACTGGATTAAGCGTACATTTTCATTAACTGTAATTTCATTAGTTATGTTCTAACACTCCCTCCATCTTGTGCCAATATCAGTTATTTTTAGGTCTTGGTTCCAATAGTTTATATATTTTTTTAATAGACTGTCAATTGGGTAGGCTCTCTGCAAGGGTTTGTATTTCTTACCTATCATATGAGTATCCTTTTCTGATTCAAATAGGATTCCCTCAACATTGCTCTGATGTCCAAAATATTTCAGATCGAAATTTCATGATATAAAACTTTCAAGTTGCATGAATTTGAAAAGGTCTACATTGGTCAGTCCAAAATTGCTTTTTAATTCTGTCATGGAAGTAATTGTATTTCCTATCACCAAGTCATTTACAGTTTCTATGCCTTTAGTTTTCCATGTGGGCTAATTTATCGTTGAATTCTGACAGCTTCTTTACATTAGCGGCAGGGCTCTAAACACATTATTTCCAGTGCCAAGTAAGACAACTGAGATGGTAGCCTATGAGTCAAAAACTCCGTTATTTCATCAAACATATCCAGGGATTGCATGATTGATATTTTGATGTGCAACCTGTCAAAATAAGATCCAGAATTATCCGAATTATTATCTTTGTGCATATTGGCCTAGGCTATAAACTATTATTCAACATGGACCCGATTCTGCCCCGAGTTAAGCGCGTATAAGGTCTAGCGAACCTAGCGGTTCCAAGTACTTAATTTTTTTCTGTTAGAAATAATACCATTCTCCATGCACTGTAATTTACAACTTGATAAGAGCTATTGATAAGAGCTAGGTAAATGAGTAATCCGTTTGGATAAGGGAATTGTAAATATAAATGACACTTGTTTTAGATATATTTTACCTTATAATCGCTGGAGACAAATGTGAAACCATTTATATGGCAGCAAACTGAAACATATCAACATATTTCCCACAGTAAAGTTTATAAAATGCAGTGCCATTGTGCAGAATTTAAATTGTACAGCCTTTTAACTTGCAGGGATAGGCATGTCTTAATTATAGGCTACCCGACTTTCTCTGTTTCCTATCTCTATCATGTTAAATATTAGCCACTATCAGTATTGACCATCAGTAGGCCTAATATCAACACATATTCAACTGCCAATTTACTGTTCCCTTCAGTTGGTATAACCTACATTATCATTCCATTTAATTACATTGTTTCATTTACCTTCATTTGCTTCCTCTATAAACGCTGTCACAGCCATGTGGTTGTTGCTGAGGATCATTAGTAACAGTTGATGATATAAAAAAAGACATGGCCGTTTGAACCCAACGCATGGCGCAATACTTGGCTGTGTCATCACACAGTGCCACCGCCCAGACCCTGCGGCAGTATAAAGTGACAAAGGGGGCAGTTGAATTCGGCAAGGGGGCAAAATCTTAGGGGGTTCGTGCATTGGAATTATGTTGAATTATGCTTATATAATCATGCTATACCACAATAAACATGAAGTTTAAATGCAGAGAATCTGAGATCATTGAGTGCTTTTGAAATCTGTAGCCTCTGTATCAGCACAAAGGACAGCTAGGCCGTTTTGGTAATGAATATAGGCTACAAGATAGATAGGGCAATTCACCTATTACAAACACCCTATGTGAATGCAGCCATACACACAGTTGTCTTACCAAAATAATGCTAACTAAATGCTGAAAGTAGTAGCCTAGTTATTAAAACATGGAAAGTCATGAGTTCACAGATTGTGATATGGCACAAGGCACTTCTGTGAATCACATTCGACCCACATAATCAATTAAGCAATGCCAGCCTACCATAAACACATTTCAAATAGTACAATTCCATTTACAGCACCGAAAACCAATAGGCTACCAAGAAAACCATAATAGAATGTAGCCTATCTATTTCTGTGATGAAACATACCGATATGTAGC